TGTGCAGCGAGGCGTCTCTATGGGGAAAAGAACACCTGAATCTAGATCCCTCTGCAGGTGGTACTTTAACTATATTTTGATGCTAATACTTTTGTACTTTTACTTGTAACATTTTGAATGCAGGATCTTTTATTGTAACCGAGTATTCCTACACTCTGGTACTTTTACTCAAGTACAAGATCTGAACTTCTCCCACCTCTGACAATAAATCCTGAGTGGTTACCAAAAAAAAACCCTGCTCTGAAGGTTATTTTTATTTTACAAATCCTGCACTCAGCTTTGCTTTCTCCAATATCATTGACATGCAGCCAGATGCTGCTTCTTTTTTCGGTTTTCGCTAATTTCTTGACTTTTTCCGACGCGCTTGCATTTAAATCCGGCTCCCCGTCTCCCCGTGGCTCTGTGTAGCTGGCCTGTACCACTACGCTGTCTTTGGAGCGTCTGCCCCCCACCCTTCTTTCACATAATGGTATGATCCTAGTGTGTCCTCGCATATGATTGGCCGCATGGTGGCTCAGCAAAATAAAGTCCCGCCCCTGCCTGCATGGATTCTCAGCAAGAGTTGCAGCGGCTGAAGATTCTGCTCTCCCCGACGGGAGTCTGCTCTTCTAGCGGCATCTCGCGATCGGCGTGTTGGAGACCTCAAGTCAGAGGGCTCAAGTCCAAGTCAAGTCCCGAGTCATTGGTGTTCAAGTCAAAGTCGAGTCGCAAGTGTTTTGTGATTTTGTCAAGTCGAGTCCAAAGTCATCAAATTGGTGACTCGAGTCTGACTCGAGTCCAAGTCATGTGACTCGAGTCCACACCTCTGGCACCTTGTAAGGTAGCTTCTTTCCCCAGCTTATGAACGGGTGAATGCTTGCTTGTTATTAAGCGTGTAAATGTTGTTTGATACAGCAAATTCAAACTGATCCAGAGCATCGAAACGTTTTTGTGCTAGTTGAGGTTAAGGGTTAGGGTTAGCCCACAGAATCCACAACTTGACAGGGTATGGAGCTATTGAATGTCATCCTGGCCGACTTCAAATAATGTAAGATGTCTTCAGACACATCATGTCTATCCGGCGCCTGGCCTTTGTGACTCAGTCATTTGAAATGCTGTCTATCAGCAACAGTCCTTTATTTACAATGTTTTGTTTCTTTCATTTGTTGCAGTCCTACTGTTTAAAATAAAACAGAAAATAAACTGCTTTAACTGGCTTTGGGAAACATCAAAGAGCTGTAGGATTTAGAAAAGTAATGTATGGGATCACTACCCACCATATTTTGGATTATTTATGGTTTTACAGAATCAAACCCCCTTCAGCTGGTTAAACATATCCAAATATTCAGAATTTTGAGTTATTTCTTGATTTCCAGTGAAGCACGTCTTTAGCATTGCAGGCTATGAAAGCTTAACCATCTGTGGGTAAGCAATTCTATTTAACAGTACAACATATGGTTCACCATTTGATTATGCTTAGACACAATGGCAAAACTGGTTGGGTAAAAATAAACACACTTAACAGTCCTTATAGTGAGCAGTGTTCAAGCCATTACTGGTGCCCAGGGGGTGAATCCTTCATCCCCTAAATGTTCCTGTAGAGGCACTAGCCTGTCAAAACAAGGACAGATTGGTGCTCAGTTTTGAGCCAATTCTTATACTTAACTCGTCGCATATAGACAATTGGTCAGGAAACCTTGGCGTCACTTTCTAACTCACTGGCTAGCCTTGCACATCAGAGTATGACGCTCCATTCAGTCGCAATAAACTAATAATTTAAGTTTCAATATATATATAAACAGTTTAGTCAACAAAAATACTTGGTTAGCCTTAGCTTTACTGGCTAAGTAAGCATGGTAACATGCCAAACAAACATTTGCCAGCCTTTACTGTAGCGCCAGGCAACACTGCGGTAAAATACAACCTCAAAGATACGCAACCATGGCTGTAAAAGTATTAACTGTGCTCAATTTATACAGGGTAGTTTACTCATTGCAAATGCAATACAGATGACTGCTTCTCGTTTACTTAAGTTGCCCGGGCTTATCTTGCTGGTACCAGAATTGAACTGCTTGCATACCAGCTACAAAAATGCTTCCCTACCCAATGTCAGAGCAAGACTGCAACATCTGCAACCTCTGTACTAGATCTTCACCTTTGAACACTTTTCTTAAACTTGAACCCGTGACCTGTAGATTCTCTGTCAAACAGCTGGGCCACTGTTCATTAAGTGCATATGTCAATCAGATAACATGGACGGAAATATAAATAGATTTTGTGCTACCAATTGAGATATTCCCCTACAGCATAACATCTCAACAGTCTGTAAGAAATGTTGCTAAATCGCCAGTAGAACAAGCTACAAAGTCCTCGGTTAGCCCCTGAAAGTTTGCTGCCAGCAGCAAGGAGAACCACAGAAGAGACAGAGTGGATTGGAGATGAGACCCATGTCCTTCCTCATCATCTGAAAACAATAAGACAACAAGAGAGCAGGAATTAAAAGACTAGAGCCGTCTAATCTGGAACAACAGAGGAATGTCAGAGCGATGCCACAGCACCCTTTTATCCCAGATGTGCGCTATTAGGTGCAAGGGCCCGATCCCTGCGCCAGACTCTGCTGGATCCGATTTCTTCCTCTGCTAATGCCACCGGACATACTATCTGACAATGATCATGATAATTACTTAAAATGACATGGCTTCCATCGTGGAAGAAGTTGAAAACACACAGGCATGGACACTCATACACACACAAACACCCAGTCACCAAAGCAAGACCATATTTACAGACATTTGAAGGGAGATAACTCTCGGCTTTCCCACCAACTTTGAAAGAGTGAACAACACAAAGAACTTAGACAAGATAGAACAACAAAAAGGTCACAACCACAATTTGGTTTTGGAGGGAACGTGCTGCAAAGTTCTGAAGGTTTTAGAAAAGCAGTTTGAAGTCGGTCATTAATTAAATGCAGAGTTAAAAACAAAGGCCAAGCTCTGTCTACTATATAATAGTTTCACTTCTGATGAGGGCTTAGCGTAATTGACTAAATACTCTGTGTTTTGTTCTCTTCTGTACAATTTTAACTAGTATTGACAGCAATTTCACAACAGAGAGTTTTCAAAGTTTTTCTTGCAGTTGGAGATTTTAAGGATTCATTATGGCTCACCAGCACAGAACACATGATGAGCATTACGCTCTGGAGTCCTATCGCTGTGAGTTGCACTACATCGGAGAGCCTTGATATCCTTGGATGGAAGCAGCGTTAAAGTAAAACCTCTGATGAAGCTGAGGTGCTGTGAGGTTTTAAGATGTTATCTTGCAGCAGAACAGCCAACATTCAGAAAAACAAGGCCTTGTTTGGCAACGTGAAGCCAGGCAAGGTTGACATACAGTCCGTTATCATTTCATCTTCATACTTCATTCTCTTCTGTTTCCATTTTCTTTACCTGGTGCTCAAGAGAGAAATCCTCTGTGAGGGGCTGTAGATTTGAACAGGATTAAACACTGAGATGCCACGCAAACACAGTAATTATGCAGCAATATCAATATGGTTCCTAGTTTTACTCTAACGGAAAGAGAAAGTATTTAATGGGTGTCCTCTAACTTGGTTATGAAATGCTAGTTTTTGAAAATATCATCACTTTTTCCTTAACATGTGACTCAGATATTTTTCTTTCCAAAAACCACGCCATGTGGGAATATATTTGAATTTTAATAAAACAGATAAACATTTTGAAAGTGGTTTCCTACCCGTAGCCTTTCAGTTGTTCCACCACATGCCATCATCAGAAACCTTTTGTACCATGCTAGTGTCATATTTCATTTGCCATAAACAAAAGCTCCCAAACTGTGTTGTTATGATTTAAAGACAAAATCACAGCACAAACAGGTGAACACAACATTTCCTAAAGGTTTCCCTGACAGCAGAGGAAATGACATATTGGATAATAGCCCTGAGAAGTAAATCACTGTAATTTGTATTTAACCCACAACATCAATATGTATTTAACCTACGTAATCAAGAGCCAAGACAGTTGACGTAGTAAGAGGAGAAACAAAGTCAAGCTGAAGTCAACCTTGAATATTTGTTATGTAACTTCCGCACCTCAGTAAAAATTATTCTGTATGTAGTTGAATCCAAACCAAGATCAGAGGGAGGACAAACTCAGCATAGGGAGGAGTTTGTCAACAAAAGAAAACTGGAAACTGCTGTTCGCTAACCGTTTCCTACCACAAGTCCATTTTGATTTATTTTAACCTTTACCAAAATTGTCCTATAACTCTAACACAGCTGTAATCGTGCCACAGGTTTATTGTGATATTTCAAAAATACAGCAGTAATTGATCATAGGATGAGAGAGAAAGGCAAACTCTGATAACCTACTTGATATTGACTAGTTGACAATGGAAACTTGCTTTATAAAAAGGGAATTTATTGATACTCCTTTGCTGTGAACAAGTTTGATGTATGTACGTTTACTAGTAATAGTTTATGAAACTAATTCATTGTTTCCCTAAGTTTGATTTTGTTTATCACTTAAGTTACAGAATGTCAGTAACTTCAGCTTCAAAGAACTTTCACCTTTCAACCAAAGACAATAAAGCATAAAGTTATCCATATGGAGGGATAGCAGGAACATAACACCTCCGTAATATGCAATAAAAACCCTTAACCTTTGAAACTTGTCTGTAAAAGGTCCAACAGTTATGGAGCTTCTTCCCTGCTCTGCTACTGCTCCCGAAAGGAAAAACTGTTATCATCAGCCTACAAGTATTAACTTGAAGTTGCACATGTTGGATTTTTTTAAGAGGTCCAATCTCCCATTTGGCATTATAAATTGCACAAGCGTGTCAACAGAGTACATTACACAAGACTTAACAATGCTGGAAATAGACAAGTGTTGGTAGTCTAACATAATAAAGAACAAGCAGCAGCTGGTCTGTGGTTAAATACAAATTGTATATGAACAACTATTAAATGTGTATTGTTTGCACCTCTAATCTCCCCCCTTTCTCCTCACCTGTGGGACACTTTTTCTTCATCCTGCACCTCTGTGTCTCGCTGTGCGACGGACAAAGTGATGCTGCCTTCTCTTCAGGCGTTCTCCCGGACGGCCCGCCTATCCGGGTCCTGGTCTGCTTGCCCCACCTGAAGCCGCAGGTGACGCCTTCACGGAGACAGGCGCTCCATTCGCTCCATTCTCCCAATGGAGCCAAGAGACCGTCCTCTAAGAGAGAAAAGGATTGAGATTTGTCAAGGTCAGACAAATAGGTAGTACTTCAAGTTCTTGCTTTTTTAACCACATGTCATAAAGGGAGACAGTATTGGGGAAAAGAGGATGGCAGAAGCCAAGTTTTCAACTAGTTTAGAATGTGATAAACCAAAGGAACATCATGGGTGTTTCAACAAGTACATTTTTAAACTTTTAAAATGCACTTTTCTCTCTCTCGGCTTTAAGCTACTATAAAACATCAGATCACCTGACAATCGATAATACAGCTCTATATTGCTGCCTGCGCCACTTGTCCCTATTGAATAATAGGTGCCGGTGCATGATAGCAAAAGGAGGTAATAATAGAAACAAAACTAACTGTCTGTTTTCGCTGCCATGCTCTTCGTCCAACCTCGCGGTGAACATGGAGTAAATCGTGTATAGTATAAAGGGAGCTTTAGGGAACATGTCAACAGGATCTGTCATTTTAAAGCTTCTTCTTCATGGTCTAATTGAGAAGCCCTGCAATGCATTCTGGTAGTACAGCATTGAGTATTTAGATGGCGACATATTGTCTAAAGTTGAGGCAAAGAGTACTTTATGAGAGTTGTCCAGTGCAAATCACCACCTTCAGAAACTCCCTGCGCCCTTTTCCGAAACACATTTCATTGATAAGATAATATAGCCAATAGTTTTAAAACAAACTGCTATATTTGTCCGGTTTCAATTAACTAACAAGTGAAAGCCTTCTTCCAATCAGGAGCCAAGTCCTAATGCCTATAGTGGCATGACCATGAGTCGTCCAATGCTGTGAAGCCGCATGGCCCCTTACTTTCGAAATCACCCCTATACCAAGGAAAATGCCAACTGTAAATAACTTCCTTTTAATTTTAATGTTTTGGCTTAATTTTCTCTTCCGTTAGAGAAATGCAAGAACTGAGATGGTTTAGATCAGGGGTGTCAAACTCAATTTCATCGCGGGCCACATTCGCATAAAGGTTGCATTCAAAGGGCCGGTTGTAACTATATAAATATATAATATATATAAAATAATGTATTATATTACATTATTGCCTCTGAATTGGATTATTATCGGATAGGATAATAACTTAGTAATTAGCTACGTCTGAAAGCAGAAGTCCAGGGCAAATAATTGCAAGTCTCTTCAGTGCGCATGTCACAAAACGAGATCCATTGTGGGACATGTAGTTTAAGGGCAACCTGCTTCTGTAAAGTGGCATGTAACCGTATAATGAACGTATTATATTCTCTGCAAGCTCTTGCAGGGCCACATAAAATGAAGTCGCGGGCCGGATTTGGCCCCCGGGCCTTGAGTTTGAGACCCCTGGTTTAGATAAATCAATAACTCACAACAATCACCCATGGAGCAGTTGCAATATTTGAAGACGACGGTTTTCCTCAGACACCGGCAAACACATTGCTATCATTTAAGATAGATGAGTACCAGCTGAAGCATTAATACACGGGACGTCACACTCCTAGTAACCGGTTGCTGATTAGTGATGTCACCGACAAAATCAATCACTGCAATTTTTCCACAAAGCCCACAGCGGAAAAACCATCAGCCATAGCCAAGTTGGGACAACAGTTCCTGGAAATCATCATTATCATTGTCAGAGTTTGGTATAAATGAATAGATTTCCAGTGACTCCTTGCTGGAGTTGCTCGAGGTGTGTACCAACAGTGAGGCATGAACCCTTAACATCGCCATCAAAACCAGATGTGGTCACGAAGCCAAGAAACAGCAGAAGCTGCAGATGGCGCAGGTGGATAGCAGAGGGGAAACTCAACAGTACATCTCACTTAGTTAAAAGGGACGATACACAACCAGAGAAGGTAATACATTCTTAAACTTCTCAGAAGACTTTAACGTGAATCATGTGTTGAATTGAAAGTTTGGCTGCATATTAGAAAATAATTAATAAATAAAGAGAAATAAATGGAGCACATGCAAGTCCACAGAAACAGACAAAGATAAGAATCAGTTCTCATAACAAACACTTAAATACTTCAAGACAAAATACCACAAAGGCTGAACTTGTAGTTTGCACGTGTAACTAAACTGTTATGTGTTAAGAAGTTTCTTTACTTTGATATTGTCACTTTCTTCGAGAATAATAATTTTATCCATGAGAAATCGTTTAAAAATAGCTTCAAGATGTGTTTTCTTGTTCATGGTCTTATTTGAAACAAAGTGTAGTTTACCAAAACAGTTGCAACTTATCAACAGTCGCACATTTTTGACCAAAGTCCGCCTGATGTAACCTAAAAAATACATAACCAAATAAATGATCAACCCTTAACACATAAAACACTGCAGGAAATGACCACAGAGCCAAAGAGAAACCAGATTAAAGGAAAGGTTTTACCAGGAATATGTCTGCTGTTCGTTTGACCGATGCTTCCATTTCAGAGCTGGCTTGCATTTAACAGCTGGCTGCTGGTCAATAGGCTTTTAGTTCACTGACTTCAAGTCACTAAATATAAAACATTCATAACTGTAAGCTGATTATTTGTAGGTTTTTTGGAGGATAGCGTTTCAAGGAATGAGTATATTTACACACTGCTAAACTACACTTTGACTTTTTCATCATTCTACCAAGACATAATAACAGCTGGAAACTATTTTTGGGGACAGGAAACAGTTCCTTTGTCGGGGAGTATTTTCAGCGGCAGATTAATCCACATTTGGAGCTCTATTGAGGATTTGGGACAGTGTATGTTCATGGTAAAGAAGGAACATTTTACATAGTTCAACAGTGTGGCTCATTAGTGTGTTTTTTATAGTTTTCGGACAACAATAGAGCTCTACGGCAGAGAGAAAGAAGATACTGTATATCACGTTTTGATACACACAAATTACCTCTAATCATAGGGCTGTGCGATTATGGCAAAAATCATAATCACGATTATTTTGGTCAATAATGATATCACGATTATTAAATACGATTATTCATTGACTTTGAAAACATCCATTTATTGAACTTTAAAACAAATACAAATAATAATTTGAACAGTATCTTATAACTGTTGATTACCCTGAACGTATAATTCAACTGAAAAACTTTAAATAAATAATATCAAAATAATAAATACCAATAAACAAGATCAACACATATTTTGGAACGCACTTCCACAAGCTACTAATCATATATAAATATGATAAATACAAATAAATTAGACCAAAATAAATTAGATCAAATATGTTGCAGTGCACTGTCACAACCTAGCAAAGCAAAATAATTGTTTTATTCGATTATGTTGTTTTCGTAATTGTGGCAGGCCAAAATCGTAATTGCGATTAAAATACGATTAATTGCACAGCCCTATCTAATAATTTAATTTAATTTCTTCAAATTTGTATTGGGTTATTTAAAAGCGTCATTACTTACCAAGGCAGTCAGTTTGGTGGGCGTAGGTTCCTGCCGGGCAGTGTGTCACACACTTGCCGCTGGACATCTTGAAGCCTGGTTTACACTTGGTACAGAATTCCCGGTCGAAACAGTGCTCACAGTCCAAAGAGCGACACCCTAAGAGGAGGGAGAAACGAAACTAGTCGTGAAACTACAGTCTCATTTTGTCACTTCTAATCCCACCCATGTTCACTTAAAGTTAGAGTGGGTAATGTATAATGTAGAAAACAAAATGTAATATTTGTAGAAATACTTTTTTTACGCTGACAGCAATCAATAAATGAAATGAAATGTATATAGATATCTGTGGCTGTGACTGTATGTGAGTGTGAGTTATGACAATATCCATGTTTAGTTGCACAATTTGGAAAAACAAAGCCGTATTGCAATTAATTTCAACGTTGTAATATTAGAGGGAATGACTGTTTTAAAAACATTATTCACATTATCATTGAATAATATATTTTAATGATGCTAACTTTTCAGGAATCTTTAGGATTTTATATTTAGTCTGTAATACCGTTTGGAGGCCAGACCTGCACCCCTTGAATATTGCACTAGTTCATATTGTGATTTACAGTGGAGGAAATAAGTATTTGACCCCCCTGTAGATTTTGTAAGTTTGCCCACTTACAAAGAAATGAACAGTCTATAGTTTTAATGGTAGGTTTATTTTAACAGTGATATTAAGAATATCTAAAAGAAAATCCAGAAATTGACGTTATATAAAAGATAAAAATTGATTTGCATTTAACTGTGGCAAATAAGTATTTGATCCCCTTGCAACCAACAAGGATTCCGGCTCCAACAGACCGGTTACATACGTCCTCTTCCTTTAGGAAAGTACTCCTAATATCAACTTTGTTACCTGTATAAAAGACACATGTCCACAGAATCAATCAATCAGATTCCAACCTCTCCACCATGGGCAAGACCAAAGAGCTGTCTAAGGACCGGGTCCGCACCCTCTGATGACTGCACCAGGCTGGGATTGCCTACAAGACCATCAGAAAGCAGCTTGGTGAGAAGGAGATAACTGTTGGTGCGATTATTCAGAAATGGAGGAAACACAAAATGAGCATCAGTCACCCTCTGTCTGGGGCTCCACACAAGATCTCACCCCGTGGGGTATTGATGATCATGAGAAAGTTGAGGTATCAGCCAAGAACAACACGGGAGGAACTTGTTAATGATCTGAAGGCAGCAGGGACCACAGTCCCCAAGAAAACTATTGGTAACAAACTACACCATAATGGATCAAACTCTGCAGCGCTGCAAGGCCCCCTGCTCAAGAAGGAACATGAACGACCCGTCTGAAGTTTGCCAATGAACATCTGAATGATTCAGAAAAGGCTTGGGAGAAGGTGATGTGGTCAGATGAGACCAAAATCGCGATCTTTGGCATCAACTCGTCATGCCATGTTTGGAGGAAGAGAGATGCTGACTATAACCCCAGAACACCGTCCCCACCGTCAGGCGTCATAGTGGAAACATTATGCTTTGGGGATGTTTCTCTGCTAAGGGGACAGGACCACTTCCCTGCATAGTTGAGAGGATGTACGGGGCCATGTACTGTAACATTTTGGCAGATAGGCTCCTTCCCTCAGCAAGGACCCTGAAAATGGGTCATGGATGGGTCTTCCAGCAGGACAATGACCCTGAACATACGGCCAAGGCAACACTGCTAGTGGCTAAAGAAGAAGCACATTTAGGTGATGGAGGGGCCTAGCCAGTCTCCAGACCTCAATCCCATAGAAAATCTGTGGAGGGAGCTGAAGCTTAGAGACGCCAAGCATCAGCCTCAACACCTTAAGGATTTGGAGAGGGTCTTCAGAGAGGAGTGGACCAACATTCTTCCTGAGATGTGCACAAACCTAGTGACCAACTACAAGAAGCGTCTGACATCTGTGTGTCCAACAAGGGTTTCTCCACCAAGTACTAAGACATGTTTTGCAAGGGGATCAAATACTTATTTCCTCCACCGTAGAGACAACATGTTGCTTATACCTTAGCCTTCTGCTAACGTTAGCACACAAGTTCAGCACTCACACAGCAAGCTCAACTTTTAGAGAGATGTAGACAAAATGATGCGAATAGCTTGGCCTATTACTAACGTTACAACACAGTCTCATGGCATTTCGTGTTATAGTCACGAAATTAATCTATTGATTCGTGTTCACCAACACGATTTCGCCATTTTTTTCGTGTCACACAGAACGATTTTAAAAGCAATGTAAATAATAACAAATTAGAAGGAAAAAGACATTTAAAAAAATACAGATTTAAGTATTCTGACACAGAACGATTTTAGAAGCAATGTATTTATATTGGTAGTATGTTTCGTGCCTGCACCAAATAATAACAAATTAAAAGGAAAAAAAGATGACATAAAATACAGATTTCAGTATTCTGAGGCTCTGAGCCCCATTTCTTTTCCTCACTGACGGCAAAAAAACTCAGACATTATACAATTTAAAATAAAAGGGATAGGGTTAGGCTTAGGGTAAGATATTGAGTAAGAACATGTTTTTATGAACCACACAGCTTCTGGTCTTCCAAGACCCGACCGGACAAAAAGACGCGTTGCAGGCACGAAACATACTACCAATAGAAATACATTGCATTTAAAATCGTTCTGTGTGACACGAAAAAAATGTGAAAATCGTGTTGGTGAACACGAATCAATAGATTAAATTAATTTCGTGACTATAACACGAAATGCCGTGAGACTGGGTTGAACGTTAGCATCGCAGGCTCACAAGTTCACTGCTCATGCAGATACAAAATGTTGCTATTAGTTTAGGGTTCTGCTAAATGTTGCCCGAGCCCTTATTGGCATCTCTTAAGTCAAATACATTTTCTTGTAAATGGGAATTAACTCAATGAATGAACCAGGCACTCACTAAGGAAAGTTTGTTTTCCCTTTTGTTGGCACAGTGTTTTTCTGGAATGAATTAAGAGGGATTCATCTCAATACCGGGATTATTCCAAAAGTGTAAACTATGTAGATTGGTATTGTTTGTTGTTGTTGTGAACTTTAAAAAATAATCAGTTCCTTCATTATAAAGGGCCTGAAGACAGATGAGTCATGTGTGCTGATGTGAGTAAGACTAGCTATCAGTGAAGACTCTTTAGTCAGAGAGATGTTAGCAGGTTATAGGCCTTTTTCAAATATCGTACTCATGCAGCGGTTGATGTCCTTCCCTCTCTGTCCAAAGTGTCCAGGGGGGCAGGCGTGGAGACAGGTCCCATGGTGAGACATCCCATCCCTCTGCAGGAACAGGAAGAGTCGCTCGGGGCAACGCACACAGCCGTTGTCCCGGGAACACTCCAGACAGCTTCGACAATCGTGTGATGTCTCTCTGTGAGCTGCAGGAGACAACAGAGTGTGGATTAGGAAAGAATACTGGGCACTATATTAGAGGAGAAATTCAAATACTTTAAAGGGTATGGAAGCAGGGTGGGGGAGAAGATGAAGGAGGAGAAAATGTCTTGACTACTGAAATACATCTGAAGATATACTGTAGTGTAGCAGTGATTAAGCCCTTTTGTATGTATACATTAATGATGTTGTACACCTTTTATATAGAAATCTCCTAAGAAGTGTTTTTAACTGATTTTTTATTATTGATTTTTTTAATGAAAAAGTATATTTTCATTGACACCTTGAAATGAAGAACATATATCACTTTATTTAAAAGATGCTACAGGGTGTGTTTTTTTTAATATTAGTAAATATATCTTTTTTAATACTGTTTCTTGTTTTTCTGTTAAAATATAGTGGCTGTTCCAAAAGGGGATTAGTAGGTGGGGTATATATCTTGATATATTCATTGTCAAAAATATACTGACAAAATGCTTTATGGAACAAACTATTTTATTTGTGCGATATTATAGAGACCAAAAATCATGAATCTACATTAAAATAATATATATTTACTTTTTCAATGTTTTCTTACAATCTAGTGTTCATTTTGGAATTTCAGCCAGAAAAAGAAAATGTCCCCCATTGTTACATTAAAGGGGACCTATCATGCAAAATGCACTTTTGTACGTCTTTCATACATGAATATGTGTCCCCGGTGTTCCAGGGAACTCACCAGGGGCCTCATTTATAACGCCTTGCGTAGGATTGACGTAGGAAGGTTGCTTACGTAGTACAAAGCACAAAAATAGGTACATACATTTTCCGCCATTTTCCGATTCACAAAACGTTGCGTACCGGCGAGGGAAGTGCGTACGGCACTCCCTACGCCTGTTTCCCTTGATAAATCACAATCGACTCGTAACGCCCATATTTGCCTATACATAGTTAAAGAAACGCCCATTCATTCATTCATTTTGACTGACTGCATGAAGAAGATCGCAGGAAATTACGATAGAACAGCTAAAAAAGACATCTCACACCGTGTCAGATTTTGGTTATTGTGGGGAGGTGGAGATAAATCATATTGTTTGGTGGATGCAGTTTGAACCAGAGTAGCAGCATGGAGGTCGGATCGTCACCAAAATAAATAAATAAGTGGTCCGAAAAAAGTTAATGACAAAACAAATACACATAACCTTCCTCAGGCAGTGTGTTTGTACCGGGGACAGGAGACACCCCCTTGATGAGAAACTGTAAGAAATGATCGGGGAATCCCTCCGGAGTGGAGTCATGACGACTGGATCTGAATTATTTTTGTTGTATTTGGTGGTTTGTGTTCCAGCTGTCGATCAGCAACTATATATACATAATCCACCAGTTAAAGGAAATACAACTAATGGATTGTGTTATATTAGCTGTACAATTTACCACATATGGTGTTCTTAGTTTCCATACCTCCTGTGTTTTACGAGCGACTTATCAAGTCTTGGCAAACGGCATAAAACACGATTAAACGTGATAGTATATAAAACCATGCTCGTATCTACAACCTATAGAAATGCAAAACGGCGTCAGTTTAGACGTAATTCTGTCCTCCTGCTTACCGCATCATTTATGAGAAAACATTTCATAACATTAACACAACATATTCGAGGTGGTTTTAAATAGCATATCCGTATTTATTTATTTCTCCAAGTTATGTTTTTGTGTGCACTGAGGAGTCTCAAACAGGCGTTTGTTTAATCATTTTAAGATTGGCTTTAATCAATGTTTGAAAATGAATTCTTCATATTTGATAAATGAGAGGTAACATTTTATTTATGGTATTATTTCCACATATTTCTCTCCATTCTTCCTTCTGCCAACGGTGTCGCAGTTTCTCGTCTCTCCCGTTTGTGTGCTTAGTGCGTACGCATGGGTTAGAGTTTGCGTGGAGGACAGCACATTTTCCCGTCAAGTTAGTATTTTATAAATCGCAAACATTGCGTAGAAACTGGCGTACGCCATTTTTTGAGCGTATATCCCTTTATAAATGAGGCCCCAGGTGTCAGAAAACACAACCCTCTCTATTTTCCTCCATACCCAAATCTCTAAAAAAGGGGCTGCAACGGATCTGATAAAAACTTATCCAGATTTGAACACTGTCCTGACGTCAGGACGGTGGCGCTACAGCTATTGGGCCAACTCCACCAATAAGGAGGAGACAGCCACGGCCATTGCCGTTCGAAAGCGCTGGAGACGCTGTAGTACATATGCCAGGCCTGTAAGTGGCGCTGTAGTCTGCCACAAAAGCAGCGAAGAAGACTTGGTTACCATGGTTACCCTTCTGTTTATTCTCCGCTGTGGCTTTCTTTCTCCCTCCCCGAGGCAAGCGTTTGCTCCCGCTGCAATGCAATCACACCCCTGCTCTAGAGGGAGTTCACTACCAAACACTCCCCCCCCTGCCTGAAACGCCTCCATTGTAACACATGCGTTTCTATTGACTAGTGCTCCAACACATTGTACGTGATAGGCTAAGGTACATTTCCAACACATCTTTAAGCAGTTGACCAATCACAACAGAGCCGGCCAGCTAACCAATCAGAGCAGACTGGGCTCTGGTTTCAGACAGAGGGTGAAAAGAGGTGCTGCAGCACAGGCATGTTCTTTAGTGACGTTTACTCAGAGAACATGTTAACACTAGTTGGCTAATTTTACTTTTATTTGAGTATAATGTCTTTAGAGTATAGTACTTTGACTTGGCTACAATATGTTAGCACTCTTTCCATCCCTATTTCATGTTGCCAAGTTGCCACTGAAGGCCTAACAGGTGATTTACTGTAAAGATAAAAAATCCCCAACAGCCAATCCGTCCATCAGCAGTAAGTAGATTTCCTACACGGACATTCCAGAGGTTGTTAATTTTGCCAATCAACTGCTGCCAAGGATAACAGACTATTTTCTAAGGAGGATCAAGGGACTATGTGCAGTCATATCCATCCGCAGAAAGAAGTCCGGTAAATTTAACGTCAGCTGTGGCCAACAAACATTTGTTTTCATTATTCAGAATACACCATGGAATACTTTCAGAATATTTCTTTTTGTTTTTGACAGCACCACATTTTGGATTAATGATGGCCATCTGTCCCCAGTTAAAGGGGACCTATCATGCAAAATGCACTTTTGTACGTCTTTTATACATGAATATGTGTCCCCGGTGTTCCAGGGAACTCACCAAGTGTCAGAAAACACAACCCTCTCTATTTTCCTCCATACCCAAATCTCTAAAAAAGGGGCTGCAACGGATCTGATAAAAACTGATCCAGATTTGAACACTGTCCTGACGTCAGGACGGTGGCGCTACGGCTATTGGGCCAACTCTCCACCTATCAGGGGAATGTGGGGTTGGGCCACGGCCGGCCATTGCCGCTCGAAAGCGCTGGAGACGCTGTAGTACATATGCCAGGCCTGTAAGTGGCACTGTAGTCTGCCACAAAAGCAGCGAAGAAGACTTCCCGTGCATGGTTACCATGGTTACCCTTCTGTTTATTCTCCGCTGTGGCTTTTTTTCTCCCTCCCCGAGGCAAGCGTTTGCTCCCGCTGCTTTAATTCAATACAATCCCTCCCCGTGGAGGCAAGCACTGTAATTCTCTCCGGTTAGTCCACCAGCAGATGACAAACACCCACCTCTCCGCCTCTTCCAAGGAACGAGGGGACCGTGCGGCAGAGTTTCAGTTTCAGTTTGTTTCGCCGGTCAAGATGTCCGTTAAAGTTTAAATCTTCCGGACAAAATTAGAAAAGTGCCGGTCAAAGGTCTTCTTTGTTATTTATTGAGCTTTAAAACAAATGAATAACGACTCTATATAATAAAACACGGAGATCTCTTTTTCTCTCCCTCTTCTGACAGCCCAGCAGCTGATCAGAGCACGTCTCCCCTCTCCTGCAGGGGGGCGTGGTCAGCAGAATCAGACCCGTAGACAGCAAACAGCACATAGAGCGAAATGAGGCATGGCTAAAATGCATGATCTTTTTGGTATTTTGAAAACAGAAACGTATAAATATACCTTATATAGGTATGGCCCTACAATATATCATTTAAATATAGCATGATAGGTTTCCTTTAAAATCAGGTCACTAAATAATAGTACATTGTATTTTATAGGACGCTTTGATAGGATTGTTTTTGAATGTTGACTGACATTTTAGCTATAGATGTATTTTCTAAATTATTGGGAAATGAATGATATAATCAATAGAATGCCAGTAGTTTTTTTCTCTCATTAAGGTTACATGTTCAATATTACCTACTGTGACTGTGGCTTTGCTAAATGTAGATGCCAACAGAAAACAAACTACACAGTATACTGTATAGCTTGTCAGCATGAATCCATGTTTCTACACAGACATAATATCTATCAAACATGAAAAAAAAAAAATACACTTCTCTCTCTTTTGGCAAACAAAGAGAGTTCAGTCCTGATTTGTAAATCTCACTGACCATATATTTCACTTCTTGGTAGCATGACAGTTAGGCTTACAGCTAAGCCAAAATAAGTCTTATTATATTATAACAGCGAGCTAGATGTCTCCTCCAAAGACTCAACAGACAAAGTAGGAATGCTTCCGATGAGACAGGGATAAAAGGGGATATGGAAAGAAGGATGGAATGAAGTAAAGATTGATGGAAAGATGAAGGGCAAGCAGTGAGTGTGCGTGAGTCTGAACAATCATGAAGTGTGATCCTAGATATGTATGTGTGTGACGGTGTGTGTTTGACGGTGTGTGTGTGTGTGTGTGTGTGTGTGTGTGTGTGTGTGTGTGTGTGTGTGTGTGTGTGTGTGTGTGTGTGTGTGTGTGAGCAAAGGTGAAAGGTTTAATCTTGATAAATGTTTTTAACCAGGTTCCCGAAAAAGGTCATTACAGGTCACAGTCAACGCAACAGACTCTGTTAAGTGAAAAATGGCTTCTTTACTTACCTTATAAGCTAAGTTCATAAACTGTATTATAAGCACATTTAGTGCAC